TATAAATTTTAATCCTTATAAGAATATGAATTTTCCTGAAAGCATCCTTTTTTTATATTAAGTTTTTTATAATGTATTTTTTAATACATTATAATCATTATAAAATAAATATATTTTGTAAAAGTGTGATAAATCTCACTCACCACAAAAATGTTAAATTCGGGCCGTGGGCCACCCCTGTTTTAGAGATTATTATTTGTTTTCCTTAAAAAATGAATATTTTCTAGGAGAAATGAGATTATTAAGAACATATAAATTTAAATCCTTTTAAAAACATATTAATGCTTTTTTTTATTTTTATACAATATTATGCAGTTTTTTGTATGATGATATTTAATATAAATACGTGAATTTATTCGTATTTGGAAAGTTAAAAGAAAGCTCTTTTAGCTATGATTTACTGTTAGAATACATTTTGTTCCCTAAAATATGGTTTTATCGACATCTTTTAAAATGCTTTTTTACATAGTAGCCGAGCAGGACTGCGAAATTTTAATCTCTGCGAATTACATATTGCATGAAGGCTGTAATACTACAATCTGACAAGGTGGTAAAATTACTTAACTTAACCTTAAGGTTATTCTAGATGTAACTTCGTTCTATTTATGTGTCGCATTAGAATAAATCAAAAAAAAAAAATCTATCAAGTATACAGTAGAAATAGTGTACGCTGACTACTGGCTTGCGGAAGGTCTGAGGCTCGAATCCGCTGGCGGTAGTTTTGAGAAACAAGGACACTAAAGGGTGATTATGGCAATGTATATAAAACTTCCGCGCATCGTCTGTCAGGTAATTTTCTGTGTTTTATCCCACATGACATGAAAATTCATGAAATTTACTCATAAATATCTACCAGAACAGCACTGCTCTCCCCATCGGTGAGATGTCTGTGATATACATGACGCCCTCCAAAGTTCCACCCTCCCTTTCTAAGTTCAGCTGCCCTGATATTAATGTAGTATATTTGAATCAACATACTTCATTTTAGCTTTTTAAGATAAATTTACCTTTTTTGCAATTTTACTAGTTAAACTAGATAAAAGGGATTTATCCCTGAGCAAATTATTGGGCTTAATTACATGTTCTACGAGATTCCTTATAGCAGGTGATGTATTTTTATTTATTTATTGGTATTTCAAACTACCATTTTTTTTTTTTTAGCATGACTGGTAATGATGTCTGGATTGGTAGGGGTAATGGTGTTTTTCTGTTCCAAAACTCTTGATTGTGACCATATTTCATTGCAGTTTCTTCAGAAATCCCATTTCTGATATCACAGTGCATTAAGAAGTTTCTTTTCTGAGTTGTTGAGCATTGGAGAGATAAGAGCGAAACTGCTGTGCTTTAGAGTTTCAATATTCGATGCAGTACCCGATTTTCGTATAAAAAAGTGCCTGGTGTATTCGATTCTATGGACTGCTATACAATTTCGTATTTTTTTTTATTGTATCCCTATTCTCTTTTTATTCTGAATCTTTTTCCTGGAAAATCACTTCTATTGAAAAAGACTTTCCAAGTTCTTGGAAGAGTTTTACCCCTCGAAGATTAAACTGTTTTGTTCGAATTTGTCTTGGTTTTATAGAGGAATTCACAATCCCAATGACACAATTGTAGCGGAAGTTTTCTGTGTAGGAATTTACAAATACGACCAGGAAATGGTATTTTAAGATCAAGTTTCATGATAAATAATTTAATGCCGTGAATGGATTTGCTGTAACGTAACCAAATTTTCATATCGCAATTTGTAGCGATCTAAACAAAAAGATGGGCAAATGGACAGTTTGAATATACTTTTCATCCTACATGATGACTTTCCGATGTATTAATTTATTGCCAATAAGGTTTCATCATTCATGACATTGCTGCCTCAGCAATCGCAAAATTTGGGTGATGTTGTAGTAACACACATGCTGATGTTGTTGTGACACTCATGTTGATGCTGTAAACACACATGTTGATGTTGTTGTGACACTCATGTTGATGCTGTAGTAACACGCATTTTTGTGTTGTAGTAACACGCATGATTGTGTTGTAGTAACACGCATGTTTGTGTTGTAGCAATACTCTTGTTGATGCTATAGTAACACTCATGTTGATGTAGACTTATTCATGTTGATGTAGTCTTACTCATGTTGATGTAGACTTACTCATGTTGATGTAGTCTTACTCATGTTGATGTAGTCTTACTCATGTTGATGTAGTCTTACTCATGTTAATCGAGTAGCAGCACTCATGTAACTCTCTGATATTGTAGTAGTGCTGATCATTTCTGGAGATGAATTATCTTATCACATCACAAGAAAAAAAATCAATCGAAGTCGAATGCTTTATCTATCAGGCAGCTCAGACTAATAAAAATGAGCATAATATTAGTAAAATATGGAGCTAATAAAAAAAAAAGAATATACCTAGTATCTTAAATTGAACTACATGTGTGTAGCGTCCCTTGGGTGTACCATGAGGGGCCTCTACATATATTTTTATAACAGCTCTAGAAGCATTATATAGAGGTCTATAATATATTATTTTTCTACTACATTCCAATAAAATACCTTCCGAGTAAACCCATTGAGTTTCAAACCAAACATTTTAAAATTGGAAAACTTGTCTATTTCGCGCCCCGAATAAGTATTTTGCATTTAAAATCTGTGTCAGTCAAGAGAAGAGCTTTTTGCAAATAAAACATGATCTTAACCATTTAAAAAAATATTCCAATTGTATGTCCAACAAATATATAATATATATATATATATATATATATATATATATAATAGTTAGTTACACGTTGGTTTTTCATTCACTCACTTCTTAAATTTTAAAAACCTTTAAAATCAAATTATATTTCATAAATAAGGTTTTTTTTTTTTTAATTTTCCAATATTGTGAAAGCTTGTCATCATGTATTACTTCTTTAATTTGCATATATTTTTAATTTGTATATCTGTTATTTCTCTATTTTTTTCTGTTTGTATATCTTATTGAGCTATGGGTGATGGCAGAGTGTAAGATGGTAATGTATGTATCAGATAATTTGAGGGAAGTATATAGAAAGTCCCGTGAAGCATCTTATATAATGCAGTATCTACTATATTTCCCATGTTCAAGCAGCGAATACATATAGATCCCATCATTCAAAGAAAACAATATACCAAATGATAGCCATTTGAATCTTGTTTACAAATCAATAATAAGTTACATCTACTTATAACTGTTCTTACCACTCTGTGTTTAATTAACATGAATATTTAATCTATTACCGAACATGTTTTGTTGTACATTACATATTCTGAATTGTTTCAAAGATAACAGGCAAAAAACGTTCCATCTACAAGTATGTTATGGATTTATCCTATAACAGATTAAATTTTCTATTTCAAATATGTCTTTTAAAATATTTAAAGAATTTGTCTGGCTTATTTTCTTCCAGCCTTTAAATAACCAAATATTTAAATATTTAACAAGGAAACGATTGGTTTCATAAGTTAAAAGTGATGATAGCTTTTTGGATAAACACCATCTGTGAGCAATGAAAAGAAGATCAAGCTGGTCGTTACCATTTCATGTTGTGCTGCCCATTTTCCGCACATTAGACGTTTTTCCTTCTTATTACAGCAAAGCTGTCTTTTTAAAAATACTATGGTTTCGTATTATATCGAATGCAGTTAAATTATTCAGATAATTCTTCTACTGTTAAAACTAAATTAGTTTGCTATTAGAAGATTTTTTCAATTGATGTAACAAATTGCAAAACGTGAAAGAAAAAAAAAAGATGATATAACGAATTTTTAATAACATGAAATTTTCAGTTATATTTTATTGCTTTCCGAATAGTACTCTAATAACAGTACTGTTAGGTACTCTTAATGATTAGAATGATTATTGAATGATTTTTGAAAAAAGATAATGGTTTTTGAAGGGAGGTCTTCAAATATAAGTTGTTTAATGCTGATTGTTATTTTCTGCTTAAAATGAGATTCATCACTATTTTTTTTTTTTTTTTTTTTGTTCTTCTGCCCCGTAATTACCTTGCACAGCCTTTTTTTCAATGATTTTAATTTAAAATTCAATTGAAATAAATATGTCTTTACTTTCTTTGTTTACGTTAGGAATTGTGAAAACTTTTCATTTATTACTTATAATGACAACAGTATTTTTAATTTACGAAATAATGAATAAATTCATGAAATAGTTAATTCAAATTTTCAAAGATAGTTGGTAACTAAAGACAAGTTGAGTTCCATTGAATATATAAAATAAATATTTGTACAAATGATATGCAGCGAATGTTAGATAAATTAAAAAGAAAAGTCATTCACTATTATTTTTAATTCTATCATTTTAAATAATAAATAAATAACACATTATAAGTGTGGTTAAGTTAAGATATATTTTATATAAAATGCATAAGATAAAACTATAAAAATATTTAAAAAAAACTTATATTTAAGCAATTCTTTCAAGCAACAATAATCTTCTATTACAGAGCCATGTTAAATACAGTACCAATAAATCACATTACTTCTAATTATTTTTAAAACAAGCCACAATCATAATACAATAAGTCCCAGTTGAACCTCTCTTCGCTATGTCATGGGCATTTACATGTCTGGCATGCTTTTTGCAGAAGAAACAATCCACACTAAGAGCACTTTAAGATCTCGTGGTTACATCAGCAAATGCAATTAATCAGTGTTTTTACTTTGTAGTTTTGATCCGTTAGTAATTGTGAAAATCTTTCATTTATGATTTATAATTATAGTTATGTTTTTAATTTGCAAAATAGTTAATAAATGCATGAAATAATGAATTCAAATTTTTAAAGATAGTTGGCAGCAGAAATTTTTTTTTTCATAGTGCATTTTCTTTAAACAAATTGAGTTCCTCAGAGCATATAAAATAAATATTCGTACTAGTAATACACATCGGATGTTAGATATATTTAAAATAACATTTATTATTATTTTTATTTATTACCATTATCATTCATTTCATAGCCAACGACCATGCTGAATATACCGGTTCTCGTTAGATCACCGAAGTCAAGCATCATTGGGCGCGGTCAGTACTTGGGTGGGTGACCACCTGGGAACACTGCGTGCCGTTGGCAAATTTGGGACCTGAATGGCCGAGAGTCTAGCGCTCTGGCGCTCGGTGCCACAGGTTTCGGGGTTCGAATCCCGGCGGTGCCATGGAAGTTTGTAGTGGTTCGGAATCCACTTTAAGCCGTAGGTCCCGGTCTCCTATGTCTGTAAGAGCGTCACACAGCAAAAGTCAGGCTTCTACCTACGGGTGCTCCATCACAACAGAAGCTGCTTCCTTCCCCTTCAATCATGAGTACGTAATGGGCTCGTAGGCGTGGCCAGCCAAGTGGGATAAGAAACAACAACATTCATTTCATTCATTATTTTTAATTCTTTCATTTAAAATAATAAATAGTAGGTTTCAAATTTATTCAACACAATATAAGTTACAATACATTTTACATAATATTCATAAAATAGAAAAAAATATATATATTTAAGCATTCGTTTCAATTAACAACTATCATCCATCACAGAACCGCGCTAAATACAGTGCCAATTAATACCGTACTTTTAATTACATTTAAAACACGCCACATTCATAATCGATAAGTCCCACTCTTTGTCATGTCATGTGCTTTCCCATGTCTGGCGTGCTTTTTTCAGAAGAAACACATTCACACTAGAAGCACTTTAAGGCCAACTCGTGGTTTCAGTTATACCTTGTCCGGTTCGTGCGCAGAAAAGTCTCACTTTCGATTCTCTTTACAGTCGTTGCTTTCAGAAACAAGATGGCAATTGTGGCAATCTATATAAACATCCGCAGCGAAACACAATCTTATGGAGGACATATTCCGCATTTCCCTGTATTGGTGCGTAACACAAATACAGGGCTGTTATGCCTAAAAGTCCTTCTGGAAGACTATTGATTCTTGACATTCATTTGTGATACATGAAAAGGGAGCATAATGACTCCTGTTGACCTCCCCATCATTGGTATTTTATTATTCTTTTTTTATTTTTAATTATTGATTCTTAATATTTTTTTATTAAATAGGAAATAATACACAGTAGGAGATATAAAATAATGCACCGTAGGAGATATGAAATAGGGTACAGTAGGCTTCTTCTTCTTCTTCTTCATTGGCACAACAGCCCCATGGTGATCCCAGCCGGCTGACTACTGGAAGATTTCAAAATAGATGTTTTCTTTTTTTTAAGGGAAAGCATTGTCAGACCTACATCAAACTCTGTACAGTTATATTAGACTGGGACTCTACAGTTATATTCAAGTGGATTCCGAACTACTACAAGCCTCCATGTTACCGTCGGGGCTCAAACCCGAAACTGCGGCACCGAGCGCCAGTCACTAGGCCACCAGGCCCCACAGTAGGATTCACATAGTACAAAATAATATACAATAGGCCACACATAGTCTAAAATAGGATACATAGTTTAAAATAGTGTACAGAAGGTTTCACATAGTTTAAAATATTGTACAGTATGTTTCATATAGTATAAAATAGTACAAAAAATAGCGTACAGTAAATTTCACATAGTATAAAAAAGTGTACAATAAATTTCACATGGTATCAAATAGTGTACAGCAAATTTCACATAGTATAAAACAGAATATTTCACGTATAAAATATTGAACAGTAAGCTTCAAGTAGTATAAAATAGTGTACAGTAAATTTCACATAGTTCCGTACAGTGGAAGTATAGAATTTCTATATAATAGAACACATTTATTGAATGATTTATTTACATTGCAAATCACTATTCAAGATACATTATAAATTAGAACAAGGGATTATTTCCAGATTATTCTAAAACATTGATTAAACATCCGCAGAGCATAAATCCTTTTTATGGGTCCTGCACAATAGACAAGCCCTCTCCACCGGCACTCCAACAAGCTCTACAGTTCAGCGCACTTGCCTGTCTACCTTTTCACTCTCAATCACAACTTTTATCGTTGGTCTTCGACTTTTCTTGTCTCGCTCGGCAAGTCTGATGAAATTTTCTCGTCTGCATCGCGTTCTAGCCATAGGGTAGTAATAAAATAAAACACTTCCGCCTATTCTATAGAATAGAAAGTTGGGACAAACATCTTCCATCGTTTTTATACTATACTTGACCATGTATCGACCATTGTATTGTATCTCTTCTGTATCTCCCATTTCGCATTAATTGAGAAAAGGTAAGCATGCTACTAAATCATTTTGAAAATTCCAAGAAATGTCTTAAATTATTTTTCTAAAGTCATGCAGCTATTGAACAACGTGCTTACTAAAGATATATAGATACAAAATATATTATTTTGTTTATAACTCTGATAATTTTGTATGAAATATAATAAAAAAATTTAAAAAAATTCATATAAATGAATATGTTATTTTTTATTCATTTTGGAGGGAAAATATTATACAATAATTTTTTATAACAGAAAATAAAAGCCAAATATTTAGAAAAACTAAATTCACATTTATTAATAGCAAAAAAATTAATCCTTACTTTTGAAAATTGTAGTATGATAGTAGACCTTTTTCTTCCTTCGTATCAACAGCAAAGAATTAGTAATCACAAACATTGCAGAAAGTTGCCAAAAATCGTCAATCTATCATGGCATATGTTAAAACAGCAAAGTAAATTCACGTGAAGTGTAAGATCACCTGAGAATTATGTTCGCCTTATACACGCAAACACAATGCCTCTATGGTCCTAGTTTGACATCCACAATAGAGCCGTAAAGTAAACTTCACATAAAATAAAATAATCTACAGTAGGTGAAAGTAATTTTAAGCTGATAATTTTGTTAAAAGACATCCTTTTATTTTAACTTTCATGTTATAATTCAGAATGTCCACCATCAAAATTATAACTAGCATTAAAATGTAGATCCATCGTATCGTCCTTTATATCTCGTTCCATAACACAAGCGATTTAACGACAGATTACTGTAAGACAGCTTACACTCCAAATCCTTCTAACTTGTCCAGAGGACAGGAAATGTATCATGAGTTCTGCTCATCTCGAAACGTTGAATGTGACTTCTTGAGCATAGAATGCGTGAACAATGGGCAATGAAGGGTGCTAATTAGGCAATTGAGGAAATCTCGAAAGTGATCGGGCGAAACAGAGCATGTTTAATCAAGGCAATCTCAGAAATGATCCCTTCATTTTACAAAATGCATTCACCATCCAAGTTATTCATCTTATCTCAGAAATGATTTTCCTCTCTTCCACTCACATGTAATTAGAATAATCCAGATTCGATAAGTTTGGTATTAAGGACCATGAATTCAGTTTGTTGGTGGCTATTTTATTCCGACTGGAAATAATTACAATGAAATGCTGATAGGAATTGAGGATTGGACACGCTTGCATGTGGCTTAATTTAATGCTTACTTGCAATGCTTGAGTTATTTTGCTAGAGTTTTAAGTCAGGCTATAAAGACTTCACATTTTTAGTGTTAAATATAACTATACGGAATAGTTTTACTTTTAATATTTGAAACGAGAACCGTGCAGCAAAAAAAAACATTGTTTTTTGAGGATGTCTGTTATTATTTATTTATTTTGGTTTTAGCATTAAGTTTCTTTAAATAAACTGAATTAATAAAGGCTAAATTCAGAAGATTAACTTATAATTTTAAGAAAGCTATGCTATTAATAGCTTATGAAGATAAAAATTGGAAATTTCAAATTCAATTTTACTAGTATAAAAATATTTTCAAGTGCTGCTTATTTTTTTTTCCCGGAAATTTATTTCTTTTTAAAAAAATAAATAAAAAAATGTGATTAAAAGTAATTTAAAATATCTTTTTAATATTGCGTCTGCCCTTGTCTGAAGAGGACACATAAGCCCAATATGCTGGACAAATTCTAGCAATATGGCGGCATGATGGCCAATTCGCTAGTGCTATGGCTGTTCGTACCAAGTCTTCAGGGTCGAATCCTGGAGGTGGCATGAATGTTTGTGAGTGGTTAGCCAAAAAATTGGCACAAAATGATAATAGAGCGACACATCAAACCAAATACTTCGGAATTCATCTCCCCACCTCTGGTACACATAAGTGAAATTGTGGACCTGTAAATCAACTGATGTTTAATATAAAACGCTTTTTGTCAATATACATTGTTTTTTTTTTTTCATTTTTTATTTATTTAAAATGAATAACTAGTAAAAAAACAACGAATGAATAAAATAGGGAGATGCCGAAAAGTAGAAAAAAGAGGGGGAGGGGGGAAATAAATAAATAAAAAAGGAAGAAGAAAAAGAAAATCTTCCTTCTTAGCTTTAGTTTCAGGAATATAAAAAGAGAAATTTCTTTGTTTCGAGATAAGTTCATGTCTCTAAGGCATCGCAAAATTATATTGGCATTCTAGTAGAAAAACCTATTTCCTCTGTAAAATGTTGTTTATAAGAACCAAAGCATGGAAATTATTTATTATTTTAAGCCCATTCTCTCTAAAATTTTATAAGTTATAAATAGACCAGTTTTGTTCCCTCGCTAACAAAAAAAATTTTAAAAAATTGGAATTTCCTCCCCAAGAATTCTTTTAACGGAGAGGGGAAAAAATGTGAAAAGTTATTTTCAAACTATTTCAATAAATTGCAACAGAATTCAATAGAGAAACTTTTGGGGGCAGATTTTAAAGTTCAAGAATTCCAATAATGCTAGAATGGTTATCATTGTTATTTTAATAAATTATATTATAACATCATAAATATATCATTATATTCTTATAAATATATCACTGGAAAGAATATTTGCTGATTGAATTATTTTTGAAGATATTATAGAATACATTTTAATTTAGGTTGATTTTAAGTAAAGTCCCACATTCAAAATACTGTAAAAAAAGAACCACTCGTCACAATGAGTTCTGATCTGAAGATACTTGAAGAAGAGGTAAACGGTATGTCATCAAAAAAAGGTTCTAAATAAAGTTTCACCAATTTTACCCATCCAATTTGGTATGACCTTGCCGTGGTGGATGGGCTTTCCCCAGTGCCACAACTATTGAATGACTTGGAAGTAATTTTTCCGTCAAAAAACCGAAACATTTCAACAC